ATCAAAAGACTCAGTTGACAAGTAAAACATTTAACACTCATTAAACCCAACACCATCAATTTAACTTCAGCAAAACATCAGCATTAAAGTTAATTTGTACTTTATTCATGTTATAATTTTCTTTGTATTTAATTTCTAATTTTGTTTAGGTTGTCTAAAATATGGAACTTACAGCTAGAACATTACAAAACTTTATAGCTAGAGCTTTACATTTGTATGAATTCTGATAACATTATAAAAAAATTGAACCAAAATTGAAAGTAATTTGTTTTCCTTTAAAAGATTTCATATGTATATCACTTATATGTAAGAAAATTCGAGGGCTGGAAAGGTGGCTCAGGGGTAGACAGCTTGCCTTGCATGCATGAGGCCCTGGGTTCGATTACTCACCACCACATAAGCAGAAAAAGCCAGAAGTGGTGCTGTGGCTCAAGTGGTAGAGCACTAGCCTTGAGCTGAAGAGCTGATAGACAGCACCCAGGCCCAGAGTTCAGGCCCCACATCACCACCACCATCACCACCACCACCACCACCACCACCATCACCACCACCACCACCACCACCACCGCAACAACAACAAGAACAAAGAAAATCCTGTTATCCACATCATATAGGTGGAGAAACTAAGGTAAGAGGTTGTCCAAAGTCATGGAGCAGGTCACCAGTGAAGCTGAGATTTGAACTCAGGTTTGGCAAAGTTCAAAGCCTAGGCTGCCTTACTTGGAGGGCAAGATGGTATGGTAAAGGCTGTAAGGTGGGTGGTTGCCAGGGCCTCTCAAGCCAGAAGGTAACTTAGTGCTTCCTCATAGTCAAGAGGCAGGAGCAGGGAGGAAGTGGTGGCTGGACCCAAATTTTCCCTGCAGCCCATAATCAACTAAAAGATTCACTTATTCCTTCTCCTGAAGTCCTGTGCTGTGTGCTAAGGGTACATACATTCATCTGTACCTTCTCAGTCTTCAAGCAGTTTATGGTCTTGCCTATCTTTGAGAATGTCTGATCATAAAAGAACCAATTTGAAAGTCTTAGAATTACCAGTGTCCACCACCTTCCTGCTTTCAATGAAAGTTATTCCTAGTCAGCTTTTTCAGTCCAGGTGAGCAAGGTCATAATAAAATCTGGGCTACTTGTAGGTTAACTGAGATCACTTATATAGTTGGCACTTCATATTGGTAAGTACTAGTTTACTTCTAATTGTCAAACCTGATTCCCTCTTTTTGCTCAGCCCAGTGTCTTCTCTGTTAGTTTTTAATCCCCTCTCTACTACTGGGAGATGTGAGGAGGAAGGAGAAAAGAAGAGACGGTGCTGTGGCTTTTCTCATGGATTTCCTTTTTAGACAATACTAGACAAGACCATGGCAATTATTGAGGCTCTCTGTCCTGCATTTGCAGAAGTATTTTCTAGCTTAGAATATGGACCAGGAATGTGAGTGAGATTCCTGAACCAAGAACATACACCCAAGACAGATGGTCAGTCATCTGTACTAGTTTATCAGATAACTGGGCAAAAGGAAATAATTTATCAGCACTTTTGTCCTAATGTTCACATACAAAGATTTCACCTTATCTCATGTTTTCAGAAACATTCCATACATGTCAAATAGACTTTCTTGAACTTTAAAATAGAAAAAATGATTGGCTGAGGTGTCTACTTGAGAGTAGAAATGCAGAGATGGAGGCAATTTGGAAGAAAATAGAACATGGAGTTTAAAACAGTTGTTAAACCTCTGTTATTGCCCCCAATCTTTCCCCAGAAGGCAGGGTGCTCACTGAGACTCTGTATGGTATTCAGTGCCTGTCCTGGGAAGGCCATTCACCCCAGGCCCAATCTACTGCACTGAAAATCACTGCTTTAAGGCTCTTTCTCAAAAGCACTTTCAGTCTTCTCTAGATAACACCAGATAAGCCCTGGCAACTCTATGAAATAATATTAATGTTTATGTATTAAAATCTCTTTTAGTTACTTATTGAAGTAAAAATGCAAGTAACAACATATTAAAATGCCATTGAATGCATGTTTCTTCTTTTTTGTAGTGCTATATACAAAAAAGCTATACTAAAACTTTGTAATGTTCATATTGAAAAAGGTGGTTTTATGAATGCTACTGATAGCATTATATATTGGTGCATCTTTTAGAAGGTTATTTGTCAATAAAAGTGAGTGTTTTGGGCTAGGGTGTATAGCCTAGTGGTAGAGCCCTTACCTATATGAGGCTTGGTTCAATCCCCATCATCACAAAAAATTTAAGGATTCTTTTTGGGTCCGGTCCTGGGCCCCGAACTCTGGGCCTGGGCGCTGTCCCTCAGCTCTTCAGCTCAAGGCTAGTGCTCTAGCCACAGTGCCACTTCTGGCTTTTTTCTTTTTGCTTATGTGGTGCCTCATGCATGCAAGGCAAGCGCTCTACCACTGAGCCACCTTCCCAGCCCCAAAATTTAAGGATCCTAAAGAAGTTTATGCCTTCTGACCAATAATCCTACATAGAAGAAATGATCCTAAGGAAGTTATTCAACAAAAATAAAAGGGAGCCAGGCACCAGTGGCTTGTATCTGTAATATTAGCTACTCAGGAGGCTGAGATCTGAGGATCACTGTTCAAAGCCAGCTTAGGCAGGAAAGGCCATGAAACTCATCTCAAAAAAAACAAACCCAAAAAAACCAAAAACACAAGAAAATTGAAAGTGCTGCTGTGGCTCAAGTGGTAGAGCGCTAGCCTTGAGCTGAAGAGCTGAGGGACAGAGTTCAAGCCCCACGACTGACCAAAAAATAAAATAAAATAGGAATAAATAAAAAGGGACACACATACACACACACACACATACACACACACACACACACACACACACACACACACACACACACACACACACACACACACACACAAATGTAATTACAGAACAATTTGTTAAAACCCAAACAGGAGGCTTGGAAAAAATTATATTAAGTGAAGTAAGCCAAGCCCAAAGAAACATAGGTCCCATGGTTTCCCTTATTTGCAATATCTAGTATATGTCTGAGTCAAGCAGAAAAGGTCAGATAATGTGATGTTAGGAAAATGAACCCTAAGATATGTATTTAAAGGTATTTTTCTTTCATGCATTTGTTTCTAACGCATTTATAAGATTATTTCTTTGTTGCTTTGTATGTCCCTCCCCCACAGTATAACCCCTGCTTTCACTGTATTTGATGTCAGTATAATAAAAACAAGTCGTTTAAGGATACAGGTGGACCCGTTGCAACAATGAGAAGTACAAGTTGTCATGTCGAAAACGAACTTTACAACTTTGGGGGGAGGGGGGGGAGGATTGGGTGGGGAGGCAGAGGGAGGCTTGGAAGGGATGTGAAGGGTAAACAAAGGAGGAGGCTGCAATGCTTGATAAGAAATGTACTCATTATCTTGCCCATGTAATTGTAACCCCTCTGTACAGTATGTTCACAAAAATTAAAATTTAAAAAAAAACCCAAACAGGAAACAAATCTAAATATTCTGTGATATGCTTCCATTGTGCCCTACATATTTTTCTGTTAAACTGATCATCATATTCCCATTTTCATCTTCTCACTAAACAATAATATCTACGGGGGAAGAGTTGTCTCTGTCTAGATCTGGAGTACAAAATAAATTGTAGGAATTAAGATCAAATATTGAAAGAAAAATAAAACTAAGAAAAAAGATCAAATATTGAAGTATTTATAATGTCAAATTAAAAATAATGTAAAAATATAGATACCTGGTGTTATTTTTTTGCTTAAGAGTCCAAAGACCCAAAATACTCATATATAATATGTAGCATAACCTCATTCTTATAAAAATCTCAAACAAAGGCAATCAGTTTTAAATGGACAGGAATAAGGCCTCTAAGGAAATCCTTTAGAACAGTGAATTTGCTGCTTCCTAACAGCAGGGGGTGCCAAAGGGATCACTATTGTTCCCAGGAGATGGCTCCTAGAGGGACTGAAGAGGCTTAGGTATAAAAAGCAGTTAGAGGAAGCCTGGGTGCATAGGATCATCCTTACCCACCGGGATTCAGCAGCTGTGTGAACCCAAATGAACAAAAATTACATTTTTATCTTCACTTCTAATGATTAGTATTTTCTTGAATTACAAGTAGAGGTAACAACCTGAGAGTATTCGTAGTGCTGGTGGCTGTCATTCATTAACAAATATACTAACAAACACATTATGGTTGACATGGGTTTCTTAAATAGCATTACTTTTTCCTTTTTTTCTTTCTTTTCTTTTTTAGTATTATTAAGGTGATTCACAGAGAGGTTACCATTTCCTAAGTCGAGTACTGAGAACATTTCTTTTTGGTCAATGTCACCCCTTCCTTTGCTTCTTAAATAGTATTTACATACATCACTACTCTCAAACAACAGACTTCAGAAGTTATGATTAGGTCTATAGATGGGCTTGTTACTTAATCTAAAGATAAACATGTTATTTGATGACTTAAAATAATAGAATTTTTTCTTTTCCAATGAATTTTATTTTATGCATTTATATACATTTTTCTATGAAAGGCTTTCCTAGACTTTTCCAGATGCCAAAGGCACAGAAAAGGTTAAGAACATTTGCTCTGTCCATAGGAAGGCAACTAAGGAAAAACCAAACTACATCTGAGCAAAGTTGGAAAAGAAGGTATCCAAATCACAAGAGAAGTGGCTGCAATGCACAGTTTCATTTAGTTTGGATTCCTTAAAGAGGAAAAGGCAAATGGAAAAGATTTATTTTTGCAGGCTCCAAGTGAACTAATGCTTCCAAGGCCAATATGTAGACATGTTCAAAGCTCTACCTTATCCAATTTGCTAATGCAAAGCAGGCTGTATGCAATATAGGTGAGGAGACATGAAGTAATAATGTAAATGTTGTCCTCAACATCTTTCTGAAAATAATCATTGTAGGACTCTGTAGATAACAAACACCATTCATCTGATGCAAAACTAAGATCAGATCTGCAAAGCTCAAAGGCAGGGATCAGATGCTGAGATAAGTCAGTACTCACATTCGAACAAAGAGTGATTCTTTGGATGTCAGACCAGGAGATGAATACTTTTCAACCAGGGCAAGAGTACTGAAGCCAAACTTATGAATGGGCTCATTGGAATCCAGCGGGGGGAAATCCGTGTCTACCTCCCCATCGTCCTCAGCAATATGCAGGCAGTAGGTACTGACATTGTCACTGAAAAGAAAACCAAGAAGGTAGGTGAATATCAAGATAGGCAGAACATGAGGGGACCAATGGGTACAGTGTACAGCAAGCAACTGATAACACTTGTAAGTTTTTAACTCCATGTCTATGATGCAGTTAGAAGCCTCAAATCCGGGGCTGGGAAGGTGGCTCAGTGGTAGAGCGCTTGCCTTGCATGCATGAGGCCCTGGGTTTGATTCCTCAGCACCACATAAAAAAAAAGAAAAAAGCAGGAAGTGGTGCTGTTGCTCAAGTGGTAGAGCACTAGGCTTGAGCTGAAGAGCTGAGGGACAGCGCCCAAGAGCAGAGTTCAGGCCCCACTACCGGACCCCCCCCCCCCCCCCGCCAAAAAAAAAAAAAAAAAGAATCCTCAAATCCTACTTCATCTGATTGGGAGAAAACGTGGCAAAGCAAAGGGGAAAAACAATGGGAAAGGAGAGGAGCCATATTATTTTTAATCTTTCAACTTTATTGAGTGCCTGTTGTAAGTAAAACACACAATTCAATCCCTGAGACCAAGGTGAGATTTAGTATAAGCCCTAAAGAAAGTTTATGGGTTAGTAGGGAAAAAAGTAAGTACCCCCTAACTGTAACTAGATACAAACACAAACAGAGGGTAGGATTAAGACACAAACTATTTTGTAGGTCAGGGGAAGTAAAGGTAACCAGGACCATCCAGACAGTTTTCCTTTCCTTAATTAGTAATTAACTCACTCACAAGACCTGACTCCAAACATTATGGGACCTGGAGCAGAGTAAAAGCAAATGGCCTGTTTTATCCTGATGCAGAGACCCTCTCTACCACTTCTGGGCATTTCCCATGCCTCTAGAAATCAATCAGAACTTCTAAATCCCAACCTTGTCCAGGTTAGAACCAACACACAGCCTCCTCTCCATCCTAGGGAGAAGTAAACTTTCAATTTGTTAAAAAAGAATGGGAGCTGGGTGCTGGTGGCTCATGCCTGTAATCCTAGATACTCAGGAGGCTGAGATCTGAGGATTGCATTTGGAAGCCAACTGGGGCAGGAAAATCTGTGAGACTTTTTTTTTTTTGGTTGGTTGTGGGGCTTGAACTGGGGGCCTGGGTGGTGTCCCTGAGTTCAAAGCTCAAAGCTAGCACTCTACCACTTTGAGTCACAGTACCACTTCTAGTTTCCTAGTGGTAAACTGGGGATAAGAGTCTCATGGACTTTCCTGCTTAGACTGGCTTTGAACTGTGTTCCTCAGATCTCAACCTCAAGTAGCTAGGTAGTAGTGAGCCACCAGCACCTAGTGTCCATGAGACTATCTCCAACGAACTACCTCAATGTCGAAGTGGCATTGTGGCTCAAGTGGTCGAGTGCTGCCTTGAGCAAAAGTAGCTTAGGGACAGAGCCCAGGCCCTTCTGAGTTCAAGCTCCAGAACTGGTGCAAAAAAAAAAAGAAAAGAAAAAAGAAAACAATAGAAAAGAAAAGAAAAGAAAGAAAAAAAAAAAGATTGGGAAACTATACTAACAGAGACAATTCAAAATTGAATTGAGGTAAAAACATTGAGATACCATGCTTCAAAGATGATGTGAGAAACTGAAAATCCACTAGCATTCAGAAGCATGCTGATTTTCAGAAGCATAATCTAATAGTTCACAAGGCAATAGAATTCTAAATTCTGTAGTTTAAATTTGGAGTTTTAATTACATGATTGATGCTTATATTAATTAATTGTAAAGTGTATGCTAATTGTTTAATTGGTTGCTTGATCTATATAGATCATTTTTTGAATTAAATGAGTTGATTTACAAAGTTTATTGATTGGATGTGACAATGAATTATTTCACTGACTACCTGATTTGCAATTTTCCCAATTAATTCACAAATCTTTAGTTGCAACTCTGCTTATTGAGAGAGAGCCTTCTTCAGGTGATCTATACTCAGTAATTCTGTCATGACTAAGAGATATTTATTATATAAAACAGGTAATCGGGACATATTAAAATTGGAAGCTGTAAATTTCCTAAATAGATGGATAATAAGAAAGTAATCTGGCTATGTTTGTCACTATAAATTTCATGTCTGCAGTGTTGTTAAGAAATTTAAAGTTCATCTCTGAATGGTATGAGAAACTTTTGGATCTTAGCAGCAGGGTACCAACTTAGCCACAAAGCAAATGCAGAAGCAGAAACAGCATTTTAAATGAGGAAAATGTCATGAACTTTGCAGTCAGAACATTTCTCAGGTCCACAGCTCATGGACCAGGTGATTTCAGAAAAAAAGATTTTTTGAGTTTGTTTACACATCTGTAAAGAGGGTAGAATCACCTAATTCAGGCATTGTAAAGATTAGATGAAATAATGTATGTGATAACTAGCACATACAGAAATATAAAAATAAATAAAAATAAATGACAAGGTAACTACAATAACAAAGCCAGATGGAACCTCACTGTCACTGATAAGTTAGTATTTAAATTCTGGACCCATTATGGAGCAATACAGCAACAATGAACCTACCCAGCTTGTTCCACGTACACATATCTGTAACTCAAGTTTACATGTCCACTGTGTTCTAGCTTTAGGGCTGCTGAGTCAAGGGTTTTATGAACAGGCAGACATTGATGAGACAAGCAATAGACAGCACAGATTATTTATTGCCATGTAAATCAACCTGAGAAATGTCTGTGATTCTCCAGCACCACAGAGGTTCAAGGGCAAATAATAAGCCTATTGATCAAAGCAGAAAGCCAAACATTGATATCAGAAGAATTCTGCTTTGATTGTCATGGGATGCCCCCAAGTTCCCTGAAAACAAATTCAACAAATGTCACAGGCTCAGATCTGAGAGTAGACCAATGGGTTTACTGCCAAATGTTATTATTCTTTCCGGTTCTTAAATACAAAGTGTGAAACCATTTATTCAAAGAACATCTGCAAAGTGTTTACCCTGTGCTGCAGTCTGTCTTGAGCACTGGGAACACAGGGAGGAAAAGAGTGATTCCTGCTGTATGACACAAGACTAATGGAAGTCCTTTCTGGGTCATCAGTAAAGTTTAGCAGCAAACAGTGCTCCAAACCCTTAATTGAATATCCGAGGAGTTAATGACTAACATTCCATATCCTATACACTGGTTCCTTTGTGACTTCATATATGAATCATTAGTAAAAGAAGCCACCATAGTATTTCAACTTGTAAAACTGCTCAGGACTCTAGATTAGTACTTATTCGACACTAGAGTGTCATTAGCTATATTTATTAAGTACTATGAGCCAGATACTGTGCAAAGAGGAATAGATGTGTAAGTTCACTGAATCATCACATCAACTATGTGAAGTCAGTTATTACTCTTATTCTATAAATTAAGAAACTGAGGCTCAATAGGGATAATTGGCTTGGCCAACATTAGATGGCATGCACATGACAGAGTTGAGCATCAAAGCAGGCAGTCAAGACCCTCACTCTTGGTTCTCACCCATCTGCAGAAGCTATGCTATGTTAATATGTCCCAAGGTGCCTGGGAACCCATAGTTCACAAGATATGCTAGATTTAACATTTGATGAGACAAAGAAAGCTATAGCATAGTATAGACTTAAAAATTAGGGTTTTAGCCAGGTGCTGGTTGTTCATGCCTGTAATTCTAGCTATTCAGGAGGCTGAGATCTGAAGGACTGTGGGTCAAAGCCAGTCAGGGCAGGAAAGTCTTTGAGACCTTCATTAAGCCCCAAAAAAGTTGGAAATGGAGCCATGCCTCAATTGGTAGAGTGCTAGCCTTGAGCAAAAAAGATCAGGCACAGCACCCAGGTCCTGAATTTAAGCCCCAGCACTAGTACACACACACACACCATGCGACGCCCCCCCCCCCCCACCAAATTAGGGTCTTATATTTATTTCAACCTCCTCACTTTTATAGAAAAGAAGAATAATGAATTCATAATTGCCCAAATAAATGGACAAAGCCAGTACAGAGAGCTCAGGTCTCCTTTCTTTGGTTCCTTGAGTCTTTGATAAAATCAGATATTGATGATAGTTTTAAATAGAGGGGAAAAAAGGGGAGCTCCAGTCCTATATCAAGAATTCTTCAAATACCAACACCTGAAACTTAACAACACAGGAAAGCAGGGGCATGCCCCATCTATGACACCTTGGTGGCAAGAACAGGGTTTTGTGTTGCAATGTCAGGTTTTAATGCTAACTCAACCACTGATGAGCTGTGACCAACCTGAGTTCCATTTTCTTATCTGAAGCCACAAAAAACAAATAAACAACAACAACAACAACAAAACACGCTTTCCTTGATTTCCCTAGAAGAATCATTAGGATCTCTTACAAAGTCCAAGTGAGAGTCTCCTCTCTAGTTTTACAGAACTTGGTCAATGTTTTTGCACATCAATTGTCACAATGCCATTTTCCTATATACGCATCTAGATTCTCCTAGAGAGTAAGAATTCTCCTATTATCTCTTCATGCTTGCTGAAGAGTAAAATGGCTGGCACTTGAAGGTACTTAACAAATATTTGCTAAATGAATGAGTATATGAATATGTAAACTGGGTTACTATGGAAAATCATGAAGGCTATTATTAATGAGGTATATATTAAGGAAATGAGAGGAAGTAGCAAGCATTCTTTTTTCTTGTTTATCACTGTGATTATCTGTTAACCCGATGAGACTTTCTAGTCTCTGCAATGCACTATGGAGAGTTCAAGGCAAGGGAAGAAGGCAGCACCAGAAGAGGTGAAGAGGGAAGGGATATTATACAGTCCAGCAAGATAAGAGTACTGCCATCCTACTTTTTAATGGAGGAAAACCAGTAAGAAATGATTATAACTATGTAATAAATTTTCAGTAGTGTACATATAAAGATTATAAATAAATGTACCAAAGGTTTGCAAAGAGTATATATTTAATTCACATGTATATTTTTCTTTCTAATTTTCTACATTTTCCCAATGTATTAAGAGGTTACTTAACTTTTCCTTTTCCTTTTCTTATGAAGTATTTATTTGTGATAAGAAAAATA